ACTAACAATGATTTACAAGACTTATGTAATTGAGGCTCTAATACAATTTTCTATCGGCATCTCTGCTATGGGTTAGTGTTGTAGACTGCGTTTCACCACTGCTTGAAGCCAATGTAAGCACAACCTCTTTGGGTTAGTCCTTTCTACATCAGGACTACATCAGGACTCCCTGAGGATATGAAGAGTTGGACCAGAGAACTGAGTTGGCTGAAAACTAATGCAAGTTAAACAACAAAACAAAAGATGCTAGCCACATCAGTCCCCTAAACTGGCCCACCATGAAACCACATGGTGTTCAGAGCTGGCAGAAGGGTATGGGTTTGGCCAAACCATTCTGCTCGACAGCGGTCCACGCTTACATCAATTCAAAGGGATCACAAAACCAAAGCCATGGCAGATGTTTATCATAGTCCTAAGGAGAAAACTTTCAAAGGTTTTGATTATGAGATTATGATTAGGAGATTATGAGAGTTACTGGCATCCCACAATAATCTTCGGTTTTCCCTGCCATTTCCTACTACGGCAACTTCTTTGGCAAGGAAGCGCTCCGTGCCGTTTCCTCACAGCTGCTTCTTGGGCTCACCACAGAAGCGGTCATTGGAGCCTAGAGTAACACAGGGCCTTACGTGCCAGTCTCCCATTTCTTTCTATTCTATTAATAAAATAACCCTGTAGGTAAGCAGCAGCAGGCTTTTGAGCAAGTTATTGCACTAAGCCACTTAAATCTTTTAGAAGCTTCTGCAATAATTTCTTGTGTCCCCAGATGTATGCCACCACAATAAACAACTTTTCTTCAGAGCTATTGGGACAATGGGGGAACAAATAATGGACAACATACTGGAAGAGAAAACAAGAACAGATATTATTTTAGATGATATACTGAAACAGACAATACATTGGTGTTCTTGGAGATGTTGTCAGCTCTCTCTTGACTATTTTTTCGACTTCTCTTCCTATTTAGTTTATGCTTTAACCAAAAATATTCCTCAGAGGCAGCCGCACGATGAATTTTACTCACTTTCTTCAGCTGGAAACACTCACTATTTTGAGGATTCTTCAGTTTTATTCTTTAATAAAAACAGACAATTATATTTCTAAACCATATCAACTGATAAACTGTTCATCAGCATTGCCATTTTTATTATTAGTTGGCAATGGAAAAGGGTAGGGCTTTGAAGAGGCTGTATAAAGGCATTCTGTAAAGATGAAATAACTTAACTGCATTTCCTTAAGGAGATAAAGACACAAAGAAAGTATCTGTAGTCTTTTCACAGCAAACGTATAACAACTTTCAGTCCTTTTAAGTTTCTTGGTGCAAAAGGACCACAGTTTATTAATTTAGTTCCACAATCTTTCATTGTTAATATGCAATGGTTTTACTGCAAAGGAAAACTAAATTAAATGGAATAACGGAACAGATGGATGATTTTACATGTCATGTTTGCTGCAATAGCCAATCATGCAAGATAAGCCAGGGAAAAAAAAAAAATCATCTTATCCTTATTTTCCCTGTGATTAAATCCGGTCCTTACAATTAAATTAAGAGGAAATTAAAGATAAATTTTAACATAGCGATGTAAGAGATGAATGTTTAACCTTGTTTGATAGCAAAACCAACAACATTCAATTCAGTGAGCACATATAATAAATATTAAATTAAATCAATTTGTTACCCCCACTTTTCAAAGAAGAATGTTTTCACTCCAACCTGTCTAATCTTCCTTATGTTTAATACTGTAATTTTGGAGCCTTTATTTCTTACGTAGTACAGAAAACTATGTTTTCATCTAACAAATCATGAAATATAATGCAAATAATTAAAAGTGTTATAACATGCATCTTGTTCCTGCAACATTCAGGAAGGACGGAAGAACTACGCTTCTGCCAAAGTTAGTTCCTTTAGCTTGATTCAGAGTTTGTGTTCTGTTTTATCTAAAGTAATATTTATTCTTCCTTACAGATAAAGTCCACAGTCAGAACAGCAATAAACAGTTTGCAAGTGAGCTTAAGCAGATAAAGCAGTAGTGCCAAAGGACAGTAGCATATGACATTAGGATCCCAGATAACATACCTACCCAACATTACTATTAACACATTCAGAAGCTAGGTTTTAACCATGCAGCCTTTTGGGTATCAAAATATTGGCTGAAATCAGCCAGAAATCTTAACTGAACAAACTGAAATACACATCTCAAAAAGTTCTCCCTAGATTACTTTCATATTCTAGAGGGGAGAGTCATGCTGTAAGTGGTGAAACGATAAAGCATTAAAACAGCATAGCAATGACATGCAATTTTAGAGAAGCATTATTCACATGTATACTACTATATATGTAAGTCAATGCTTAGGTACAACAGGTCTTCCACATCTGTCATGGTTTAGAACAAATAAAACATGCACATGCAGACACCCAAGCCTTGCTACCAACTGAAGCCTCTCAAGTTGTCTGCGTTACGAAGCAGCAGAATTATCTCTTTCTCTGCCTCTCCCCACCCCAAGTTAGAGAGTTTCACCACTGAATCCGATAGAAATATGCTGCCTGCTCTTAAATTACATAATCCTAAGTAGCCAGGATGGCTTGTCTCTCTTGACCATTCTTTTACAGTCACCTCTGACTGCATTTTTTCTTTTCATTACACTGCTCCTCATCCTAGGGGGAGCAGAACTGGCTTAAATAAAGGAATTTTGTGCTCTTCACCTCAAGCATCATTGGTCCAAGTGCATCCTTGTCGATGACACTCTGACCCGTAGATGATACATCTGCTTTTTGCACTTCATCTTCATTAGCTGCTGCTGCTTTTTCTGCAATAAAGAAAACTATGTGTTAAATGACAGAGCAGTGCTCTCTAAGTGATACAGTAAGAGCCCACAGAGTATTGAGACTAGCTATGAAACAGTTGCAGTGCAACAATTCTGAAAATGAGATTAGATCGTCTCCCGTAATGATTCAACAGAAGCATAACTAGTATATTTGCTTCTCAGTTTTGAATTTTTATGACACAGATGAAATAATTTCTGCTGTTTCTCTGCTAGACATTTGACTAAACTACAAAACATAAGTGTGTTTTGCCCACTTACAAACCGGGCAAAGACAAGGGCTCCTTATGAAGGTGCAACGGGGAAAAGCCAGGATCAAGGTGTATTAAAAGACTGATCTAAAGGAGCATGCAAAGCTCACAGCTGCACAACTTTTCCACGATCGCTATATTTAGAAGGAAAAACATTAGTCCGCAATCTACTGTTTCAGTACTGAGAAAGAGCAGACTCATTTGTGTTCCCATGCCTCCACCCACATTTTTACTATCACATAATTTTCATACTGCCTTATTTACCAATATGTTATTAAAAGCACATACAATTTCAAGTGCTGTATTTGGAAATTACAGGCAAGAAAATAATGATTTAAGGTTTCTGGAGCATAATGCTACATATTTACAATATGTTATGTACAGTATCACAGATCATACCCAACTCCAGATGTAACAGATATTCATACATACTGGAACCTTCAAATCAAGAGGGTTTATAATTCCTATCAAGTAATGGACTGCATTAATTTTTCTACTCCAAGAATGATATGGGTGTTAAAGGAGAAACAGTAAAAGTAATAAAAACATTCTACAAAATACATATTATACATTGAAAGTTAACAAAATCAGTAATTTTTTGTTACTAGTTCTATACTCAAAACATTCTTTCATTATTTTTCAAGCAGTTATCTAAAAGCTAGGGCTATAGTGCAATCTAGAATATTAAAAATAACTAAAGATTTTTTTTATTTTTAATATTACGCAATAGGTTATTTTAATAAACATGAAAGCACATCGAAATTATGCTAACAAGAATTTATGCCTTCTACAACAATAAACCAGAAGAAGATTCATTGGAGGAATTACTGAAAGTACCGTGTGCCGATGGAGCAAAGGGCCTTTGAAAAATCACCCTTAGTGAAAATGAAAGCATCAGTCATACAAATTGAAATGTATCCAAATGTACAGTATTTTCCACTATCTGTAGATCTGCAATACTGCAGCCAAAGTTCCTCTGAACTCTTTCCTTGGCAGAGGATATAAGGTCAGCGTGAATATACGTTGCTTAGACATACGGTAAAGGCACTGCTTCTGAGAACCTCTGGGTGTTCTCCTATCAGCAATCGCTCGCTTGCAATAAGGCTTTGGTCGCCCGGGCTGTCTCATCCTAGATCGCTCCTGTTTCTTGCTCTCATGAAAAAAAGTCATGAAAATCTTAGCTGTCTTCTTAGCGTATGTTCATACACAATATAACACCATTGTGAATAATGATCAAACAAAATTGTTCTGAAGATGGACTGTTGCAACTAATGGAATAATTTTAAATCACTTTGATTAGCATAATGTGATAGAAATAAATACACTAGAAATAACGATTTAACCTTCCCTCTGCCACTTAAACTCACCAGGATACAAAATTAGTATTTCTGATTTGGACTGAGGACTGCAGTGGGATTTTCTTTTATTTTTTTTTCTTTTTTTCTTCTTTTGGCAAAAAGCAGAGATTAGGTTTAACAGAAAAAAACTGAACAATCCTTCCCATACTACAACACAGCAGAGTTGGCACCGTACCATAATACAATACTGAAAACATGTTCTAAAAATTGTGAAAGAATTCGAAGAGATTCTAAAAATAGCGTTGAGCTTTTAATAAAGTCAGTGATGGTATTTGTTTCCCATCTGTTCCTGGTAGCATAAAGTGATCCCTGGTTTCACACTGCAAAATATTATAAAGGATACGGATACCAGCTTCCTGCGTTCATCCCCTCACTGCTTCAGCCACTGATGCCGTCTTGAGTATCGCTGAACATGGGATTATTCTCTACGCGCTAGAAATGGAGGGGCTGCAGGTACGGTCCAGCAACGGTGTCCAAGCGCATTTATTAGGCGGTGTTTCCTCATTTCATCCATTTACAAAGACTTTTACTGATTCTTTTTCACATAAGACAAAATATTTGCTGAAGATTTTTTTTTCACTCTTACAACCATGGAGTTCATACAAACCACCAATAACATATCTAAAAAAACAACTGCTCTCTTTTATGCACGCAGGTGAGGTTTTATACAAAGAAAAAGGAGAAAGTTTTTCATTACTGTAACAGTAATCAACACAGAAGCTGCAATACTAGGTCAGACCAGGGATCTCTCCAGCCTCGCATCCAGTCCCTGACAGCGGTTGCTTTCCCCTCTGGTTCCCCGTTTCTCCATTTCAACCCTGTAATCGTGGACCACTTCCATTCCATCATCACCCATCCCTCACAACCGTTTGACCTCTCCTCTTTCTTTTCCCTTAGACACTGTTTTCCACAGAGGGCCCAACACCTTTGTGGGATCAATAAACAGTGCTTGCTCAAGGAAAAGTGGAATGAATGGAGAAAAGATGAAAATGCTATTTAGACACAAACACTGCCTACCTGTCTCTCCCAGTGATGGTGACAACATACACTACACTGCTCATGACGTTTGGTTAGGCAATCTGAAAAGCTTTATAAATCACAAGTGCTCCAAAATTACGGACTTCATAATTGGATCTGTAACTTGATTGCGTAAGAAGTTAAGTGGCCGGAGAGCTTAGAGGAGGCTACACATTCAGGCCACTGGTTCCTACATATTTATTTCAGTGGCATTGTATAGGAAACCATGGCCTTAGACAGCCTCTGAGTAGGACCAGTAGTAACTTATGTCAACGTTATAAACCACAGCTACTGATAATGTTCAACTACGCAATAAATTATCCATTTTTGACTGAACTACAAAGCCCTTTGTGAAGACTCTATCAGCGCATACAGGAAAAGTAAGTGCAAACCCTGTCAGCAGTGTCGTCCTGACAGCCAGGCACGGGGAACATCTTGAAATGCAAATCTTTTCTTCAGCGATACAGCACATGGGGCTAATTGAGAACAAAAATTTGTTGCAAGAAGGTTGAAAAAAACCAACAACTGATACACGAGTTTCTAGTGCTGACAACACTCATGCATTTATCACAAGTCAGTATTTTTTGTTTTTCTTAACAGTTCCAGCTTCTGGTGTTAAGTAGTGGTGCAAAAATGTAAAGTTTACTTTTCCTTTTTTTACTTCTATCTTTTTTAGGTTCACTGGGGGCTCTACAAACAAATCAAAAGCACAGAGAGTTTATTATTTCTACACTAGATTAATGATTTTTTGAATGTTAGGGGTTAGGAAAATAGTTGCAGAGGCCCAACCTTGCAAAGCCTCTCAGAAGTCTTTTTTCCAGCCCCACGGGAATTGCTGGTATTACCCTGTGACTAACCACAGCTGCTAGATTTTTCCACTAACACGGAGAGTGGGAGCCGGTTCCCTGATCTCGCACCTTCCAGCGATGCTGCCTCCAGGAACAGCGATGCCCCTGTTCAAATGGAAAATGCTAAAATGCCGGGCAAGCGTTACCAGGCGTCCTACGGACACAGCGGCTAAAGTAGAGCAGAGGTTTAGTATGGAAAGAAAAATACAGCCTTGTGCCGGCTGAGGAAGTGAGCGAGGTGGAAAGGGGCTTCCCAGGGCTTCACCTCCGCACAGGGAATTCTCTGCTGGCGAGGAAGCGTTAAATTAGAAACTGGTCCCATCCTTATGAATATGGCTACCAGGGATCAAGCATATTTTAGCTAAATTACCGTGGCATAAACTTCATGCACATGAAATAATTATTAGCTCGGCTCAATTAAGAGTTTAGCCTAGAGAAAGAAAAAAAATCTAAACAAAATAAGAGTATTCCCGAGAGAGATACTACAAAGAATATATATGTCCAATTATGTAGCATTTTAGTGATGTGTGTAATTTAGCCTTCAAACTGTGGGTACATTTACAATTGTATGAGCAGTAATATACTAAAATACATATTAATATTTTCAATTGGACATTTTCGTAACAATCATAAACTATATTTACTTTTCTATGTCAACATACAGAAGAAAGAAGGAAAAAAAAGCCCTCACAAATATTTTCTGACAAATTTATCAGTGGGAAAGCCTCAAGCTTTATTTGAAGCTCATTCCAGACTCTGAAAGCAAACCTTCGTGAAATCACATTAGTTTAACAGAAATTCGTAAGTCAGAGAAAGAGAAGCCAAAAGCAACAGTTTGTCATCTCCTGCTATGTTTTAACTTAGGAAGCCCTCCTGGTTTTCCATCCTCCCAACTCAAGCTAGGTCGGTTCTCTCTGAATTTCTAACAGCAGACTCAGAAGTGCTACTGATGGGCATCGCCTTCTCTTGGTTATGTTTCAAACCCTCCCTTCCTACAGGTGGGCAGGTAGGACCAGCTGAACCACCCCAAAAGCTCTTTTTGTCTGTGTTCAAGACCTACTCCAACTTCCTTAACGAAACCAGCTACAAAAATATTTCCCCCTTGATGCTCTCTGCAAAACCAAAATGCATTTTCGAAGTAAAGAACAAAACTGTAGCCTCTATAGGGATTGCAAAAAGATGACACGTAATCTGAAAGAGAAAACTTGCATCAACACACGTTTAGTTTCTTTTTCATAGGAGAAACACTTAAGGTTCTTCATAGAATAAGAGGGAGCAAAAAAAGAGATGCTGGTGAAACCCTGGACAGGGCAGCACCCGTGCTCTGCAAACTGCTGAGGAAAGAGGTCAAGAGAAAAAAAACACTGTAACAGGCAGAATCAAATTTATTATCCAATACTGCTTAAAACAGGTTTTCTCAGGTGCTCCACGTAATTTCTGTTCTTCATAATTTTCTGGAATTGCTATTGAAATGCCACACCCATCTCAAATCATATACCCTCATTTATATA